TGCTGAACCTTTAAATGTGATAACACTACTTGTAATAGCCATTTGACTGAATTGTCAGACACCCATGCTTTTCTCCAATTTAAAAGACCTGCTCTGCTTGTCTGATGACAAGATCCTGGAAGTCATATAACTACCTGAAAGTGCAGTAAATACAATTACAATTTTCAAACTAAAGAGGAAAGCTAAATGCTGGGATGTGGTACATGTCTTGGCTCTCAGATCAGGTGTACCAAAATATAAACTACTAACAAGTTCTTCTGACTCATCGCCAGCCACGCGTGAGCTGTTCGGCTGTCTGAAGCTTGGCAAAGGTGACTGGCTGCGAGGTTATTCACTGGACCCTGGAAAAGGCCACTTTAGAAGACATTAAAAAAAACCACTCTCTCATCAGGCAAGTTTCAGACATGTTTTTCAGTTGTCCATCTTACACTAGTCTGACAGAACAAATATGCTTTATTTTTATTAAATACAGGAGGGTGCATTGACTGTGAATGGCCCAGAGCAAATCATTACAAAACTGATGGGCACAAACATTAACAGGCCACTGGGGACCATGCCCTGAGAGCTTATTTTGAATATGGGTGATGTGTCAAGATGTGTCGCTGTGATTCAGTAGAGGTTTTATCCCCCATGGTGGCTGCAGAGCCATCAGGGCACTGTGTCAACCAAACCAAACCTGACCTTTAAAAATTTCACCTGCCAATGATGAGCAAATAAAGCTAGATCTACATTCAGCTGTAACAACATGACAAATAACATGAGATCCTGTTCTCCAGTCACACGATCTTAGGCGTCATCTCTCGTTTCATGACTAAGGTTAAATTGAATTACTTATCACGTCAAGTAAACATTCTCTATAAACTGACAGAATATGACAAACTTGCAAACAGAGAAGGGCAGCACTGACTTTAAATATCCTGTCTATGTACCGGATCTAGTGACACACCCCGAGCTTAGCAGGAAACCACTGGCCAGACAAAGCAGCCAAAGTCAGGGCAGCTGAACTGTCTGTGTAGGGTACAGGGAGGCTTGTCATGTGACATGGCTTTACGGGTTTAATGACGCAATAAAAACTGTATCCTAGTCTCTTTGGAACTTTTCAACTAACAACTTCATAAGAAAAACAGAGAAGAAAGAATTACTGTCATAAAACTGTAAGCGGTTTACAGTGACGCAAGGTGAAAGTATGTCTATCAGAGGTCTGAGCATGCCCAGGCACTTCAGATTAAAGCTGTATTTTCATACAGTCAAACTATATTCTGGACCTTGACCTCTCCTGACTAAATGTATCTTTCAAAACATAATAACATACAAAAATCTAAGCATTCAGCTTTGAACAAATGACCCACAGACATTTTGAACAGTTTCAAAGCTACATTAACTAAGATTTAGCACAAATTTGGATAAGTCAAATAAAAAGATTGTCTAGAAGTGTTTTCTCCCTGCTGTACTAAACCCTCCCCACTCTGCTCTGCTCTCTTCAGGCCCTGTGTTTATTTCTACCCCTCTGTTGCCACTGTTAAAATCTGCACCATACATCTTCCACACCCCCACTGATCTGAGGTTATAAGACTCATTTTTCAAACCAGTATGCCTCATTTCAAACACAGACCATGGAGGTACAAACCAGGACGGGAGAAGACCTGTAAGGCTCAAGAGGCCGAGTTCTGTGACTAAGAACGAGGCAAAACCAGGGTTAACATTGGTTTGGCATGTCGGAGATGGAGAACATTAAAAGCACCCAAAGAACTAAAATATGACACAGACATGGCTTTCTTCCTTCTAGATACGTAATTATGTAGCTAACGTATATCATTAGCAAGCTAACATTTTGCACCTTTGCACTGATTTATTCTGGTTGTATTTTGCAGTCATTTCAACTGACTGCATCATTAGTGTTTTGTTGTTCAATTAGTGAAAACCAGCGTGTTTTCCTGGATTAGCAAATTAAGTCATTTTGCTCAGTTCTGCTCATTTTTCCTTGGTTCTGGTCCAGGCCACACGATTTGTTTATGTTGGATGTAACACTGTAGTCCATGTGGCATTTTAGTGAGATGTTAAAAGAGGAGGGGATACTGCTTAAGTTTGTTTTGACTCTCACTTTGCCCTTAATGGTCGAAAATTAGAGGTAGATGTTAGTTAATGCAGCTGTCTAACAATATATCACAACAAAGTGAATGTCATGAGAGTCAAAACGTTTGAAAGATGCAATAATGATATACGTTTTCAACAACACCAGAGTAGCCTAGCTATGTGCCAAGGGTTACATGAGCCAAAGAACAGCTCACAAGCAACTGAGATTGGACTGTGTCAAAAGATTATGAATCAAGATAACATGTTATTTCAAGCTGCCACTAGCACACAAAAAAACCTCTTGTCCCCGACTCCTGGTCCTGGCCCTTTGCCTGGACCACTCGTTATGTCACACAATGTCCTGACCGTTTCCATCATCTGCCATTAGCCCAGTTTTAGACATTTCATCCACTGAGACAGGTCAGACAGACACAAGCATCATTTACTCATCAGTCTTACACTTCATGTTGCCATTTTGAGATACAGACACTGCTGCTGCTCGGAGCTTTAATAACTCGCTTGCGCAACAGTCTGAACCTTGTCATGGTTTGTGAAATGTGTGATCTTAAGGTATATTTTTCTGTTCTATATTCAGATTGTTTGTTGTCTTTTAACTGCTGGCTGTGCAACAGTTTGGCCCTCGGTGGTAATAAAAGTTGCATTGACCTTGAACAATGGCTGTTTTAGCTGATACAACTACAAAATAAAACATTTTCTGCCCAGCTGAAAACAGCTATTTGTTACTGTGTGTTTGCAGTTTCACAGATAATAGCAAACCCATGCTGTTGTCTGAATATCTGTGCTCGAGGCATTGGTAATGATTTACTGCTCCTGCAACAAGAGCTACAGTTACCTGGAACAGGAACAAACAAGTTCTTTAAGAAATGATGAGATCATGTGTTAGTTTAGTACCAATGTTACAAAATCTGGTGCAACAACGCAGGTTAATTCAATTAGTGCCGGTCACAGCCATGACCTCAGGCCTTCAAAAGGTTTAGCTACAATAATTAGCTGTCATTCATTAAATTAGGCAATAAAAAAAATGGGTCATCTTACCAGGTACATCATACCACTGTGCCCCATTGGTGATGCCATCTTGAAAAGTTTCTTCTGGGGCATCGAAACACTTGGGCTGACCCGTACTCATCACAGGATGGTTCTGAGAATACACCAGAGCCAAGTAGCGAAACAGACTGTCGTCCTCTGACTGGCTGTAACGGCCCCGTTGCTGGTGGGAGGCTGAATCATCAAAAGGGTAACTGGCAACCACAGTGCCGCCATGCAGGTTCCCAGACAGCACGAACCTAGTGGGACAAGAGCACGTTTTAGCAGCTGCCTTAAAGAATAGGTTCAACTAAATTCAGAAAAATTATACGTCGATTTAAGTACATAAAAAAAGTTATTGGTCACTCCGGTTGTGCATATGGCTGTGAAGTTACGAGTGAATTTGGTGCAAATCTGGGAGATGACATCTTAAACTGAACTTCAGGAATGCATTTATCACTGAACAAGGACTGTGGCTTTTACCCCCAACTTTGACAATGCGTTGTTGTACATGTGGGCATGTACTGCTGAAAAAGAATCAACCTACATTTTAAAAAGTTATGAGTCAAGAAATCTGAAGCAACTTTTTGTGCAAATAAATAGCAAAAAGAAACATGAAGCTTCTTAGATGGGATTTCCCTTATTGCAAAGCGGCCCTGAGGCTGACAAGGCCACTAGATGCAGGGTTGAAGTCTACCCCTGGAAATGAACATTAGTCTTAGATAAAAATCAATGATGGTTTCCAACGACAGCAGGTCTTGCTGACATTGTTATGAGTCACACCTGTTATGCACAGACACTGTAGCAAAGAAGGAAGAGGGAGCTACTGTAAGTGTGTTAATGACTAAATGTTAGTCACTCTCCAAATTATACTGCAGTTAAATATGTTTCATTATTGGTTAATCTCTCTGTACTTTGAGGTTAATGTTGGCATTTATGGATTTATTGGTGAGCTTATAGCATAAAGACAGACACGAAACAAGGAAATAGAGAGAGAGAGATTAAATGTACAGAAACCATGAGGCCTGTATTTGTATGGTATGTACCCTAACTTTTCAGCTACCAGGATAAAGAAATCCATCATCCAAACAGTTGCTGATAATTTTCTGTCAATTGAAAAATCAATACTTCAACTAATCATTTCACCTCCACTAACAAATGAACAAGTCTTGCACACTGGGCCATTTACGGTCCCAGTACAGTAGCTGTCGGTAAGATTACTAGGTCACACCTGCTATAACTAAGGTCTTAATCAAAAAGGAGACAAAGATCTGAGTAGTTATTCGTATCAGAGGGCAATGAGTTTTACAGAAGCCAATTCCAACCCGTCCTCCGGACAATAAGTCTTCGAACAACTGGAGGAAAACTGTTTGTGTGTTTCACAGAATACAAAGGCTCACCTCTTCTCCTGGATCCATCTGATCACAGCCATGACCTCAGGTATACTATCTGGAGTCACGGTCGTCCCGTCATACTGGTCAGGAAAGCTTCTGTTGAGGTCTATATTTCTGGCATTATTTCTACCCCCGCTTTCGCCAGTGCAGTCCCCCTCTGTGGATTTCTCAAAGCCGTCAGGGTTCATGCTGGGCATGATGTAAATATCCGTGGTGTTTACCAGCTCAGTAATACGTGGGTCCTCTCCATATGAAGCCAGGAGGTACTCCACGAGGTACACCAGCACCTGCCTGGACACGGTCTCGTCACCATGCATGTTCCCCACGTATTTAAATTTAGGTCTCCCCGGCGTGTCTATATCGGGATCCTTGGTAATACGCATCACCCAGAGCTCCCTGCCCTCCACAGACCGACCTATGCTTGATAAGTTAGCTATGTGAGGATATATCTGGGCTAAGGCCTGTAAACGCTCGGTTAAGTCACCATAATTGTAGTATTTGTTATACGTTTCTACCGTCTCCGCCGCTGAGGGGCTGAGGCGTCGCGTCCGGTGCAGCCTGGCTTCACCAAGGGAGACAAGAAGGAGAAGAAAGGCGAAAAGTGATACCCGCACTTTCAGCATCGTCGAGAGATGCTCCAAATTGTATACCATGCTGATGAGTGTTGTACCCCTACAACATCCGGACTTTAAAATAAAAGAACACACGCCAGGCTTAAAAATATTTTATGTTTTCCTCGCAGTTACAGCCGTATTGTCACTGCCAGAGCCCGTATGGCCTGCCTGTTTCCGGCTACTTCCTCTCCCCTCATAGGGGCGGGACTTACACGATGGCGTCACGTTTTAAGGTGGACCGGTGGAATTCAATTTTAATTTATTTTACTTTATTATTTTTCCCGGTTTCCACAATTTATCATTTTAACAGCCCCACACAGATCGCGGAAAAATGTTATGGTATATATTTTCAAATAACGCTAAGTGTTTTGCCCACATAAATACACATTTATTCAGATTGGGAATGTAACATCGGAGTAGTGAAACCTTAATATGAAGAATCCGTTACGTGTAACATCATCCCACAATCGTAAGCGTTTAACAATATAACCTATTTTTTCTGTTTTTGAGAAACTCAAAATGCATTTCAGTTCACCTTTTTATGCAAGAATGGTGCTGTTTTATATGGTAAATCCACTGTCATAGGCAACCAACACACCTATTTATTTATTTGTTACTGTAGCCAATATATTTATCTATGTATACAGTGGTGTGAAAAAGTATTTGCCCCCTTACTGATTTCTTATCTTTTTGCATGTTTGTCACACTGTAATGTTTCAGATCATCAAACAAATTTAAATATTAGTCAACGATAACACAAGTAAACACATCATGCAGTTTTTAAATGAAGGTTTTTATTATTAAGGGAAAACAAAATCCAAAACTACAAAGCCCTGTGTGAATAAGTGTTTCCCCCCCCTGTCAAAACATAACTTAACTCTGGTTTATCGCCCCTCAGTTCAATTTCTCTAGCCACACCCATGCCCGATTACTGCCACACCTGTTCGCAATCAAGAAATCACTTAAATAGGACCTGCCTGACAAAGTGACTGCTGCAGAACCCAAGTTCGCTTCAGCTTGAGGTCACAAACGGATGGCCGGACATTCTCCTTCAGGATATTTTGGTACACAGCAGAATTCATGGTTCCATTTATCACAGCAAGTCTTCCAGGGCCTGAAGCAGCAAAACAGCCCCAGACCATCCCACTACCACCACCATATTTTACTGTTGGTATGATGTTCTTTTTCTGAAATGCGGTGTTACTTTTACGCCACACATAATGGGACACACACCTTCCAAAAAGTTCAACTTTTGTCTCGTCTGTCCACAGAGTATTATTCCAAAAGTCTTGGGGATCATCAAGATGTTTTCTGGCAAAACTGAGACGGCCCTTTATGTTCTTTTGGCTCAGCAGTGGTTTTCGTCTTTGAACTCTGCCATGCAAACCATTTTTGCCCAGTCTCTTTCTTATGGTGGAGTGATGAACACTCACCTTAACTGAGGCAAGTGAGGCCTGCAGTTCTTTGGATGTTGTTGTGGGGTCTTTTGTGACCTCTTGGATGAGTTGTCGCTGCGCTCTTGGGGTAATTTTGGTCGGCTGGCCACTCCTGGGAAGGTTCTCCACTGTTCCATGTTTTCGCCATTTGTGGATAATGGCTCTCACTGTGGTTCGCTGCAGTCCCAAAGCTTTAGAAATGGCTTTATAACCTTTTCCAAACTGATAGAGCTCAATTATTCTCTTTCTCATTTGTTTTTGAATTTCTTTGGATCTCGGCATGATGTCTAGCTTTTGAGGATCTTTTGGTCTACTTCACTTTGTCAGGCAGGTCCTATTTAAGTGATTTCTTGATTGCGAACAGGTGTGGCAGTAATCGTGCGATAAACCAGAGGTAAGTTATGTTTTGACAGGGGGGGGAAACACTTATTCACACAGGGCTTTGTAGTTTTGGATTTTGTTTTCCCTTAATAATAAAAACCTTCATTTAAAAACTGCATGATGTGTTTACTTGTGTTATCGTTGACTAATATTTAAATTTGTTTGATGATCTGAAACATTACAGTGTGACAAACATGCAAAAAGATAAGAAATCAGTAAGGGGGCAAATACTTTTTCACACCACTGTATATTGCTGACTGAGATCTTTAGCTTTATGATCTTAGTAGACTTTCTACTTAAGATATTTATGTTGCTAAGGTGTCTTTACAGACTTATACCCAAAACAGTTTTTCTATTAATGTAGCACTCAGGTTAGACGGTCCTCGGGTCCTTACAGGTGTTGGCTTTACTGTACAAAGCTGGCATCCAAAAGCAAAGTATTGTTCATTCATTTTTA